TGCGCGCGTGTGCGGCCCGCATGTTCTCACTTGACTGAGTGGCTGGGCGCCCATGGTTCCCCATCGTTTCCGCGAGTGCTCGCGCGTCGAAATATGGCAACTTTTCGTTGGACAAGCCAGTTGTGGCTGCTAACCGTTGAGCTACTTTATATCTTGCCATGGTCACAAAGCAGGGTTCTCCAATGATTACATCATGCGTTCGCGACGGCGCGCGCATGTGCCCCGCACTGTTTTTCTGCAAGGGGTTATTGGAGAACGTGCTCCCTATATCAACACACGAGCATCGCATATTGTTGTGCGACGGATGAAGGGGGTATCGAAGGTGGGGTTGGTTGGCATGCTGTTGCTGTGCAGCCGCTGCAATCCCCCAGGGGAACCCAAAGGAGGCCCCCAGACACCCCAGACGCCGCCCAAACCTTGTCCCAAGAAAACCTCACGAGAGCCCGAAAACGGCCCAAGAATGGCCAAAACTGCCCAGGAAGGCCCCTGCAGGCCCCCAGGGGAACCCAAAGTAGACCCAGACATCCCCAAGAGAGCCCACGGACGCCCACAGTTCCCGAAGACGGCACTAAACAGCCCCAGGGCGGTTTCAGAGGGTTTCTAACATCGCGCAGAGATGCACCAGGAGGCCTCCCCAAGAGAGCCCCAACGGGGCCCCAAGACGCCCCCCTAAACGGCCAGAGAGCCCTCCAAAACGGCTTCGGGTCTGATGCCCAGGTGTCCGATCCGATGCGGCCCGATCCGCTTCGAATCCGATCTTCCGGCGATCCGGTGCAGCCCGGTGCTCACATGGCGGCGTCGTTGTGTAGCCAGGCGCGGCCGACCCGATTCGATTTCGACTCTGTGCCGGTGCGGCCCGATCCGACTTGCATTCCGATCCGATCCGGCGTACCGATTCGAGGCCGACTGGTCCACCAGCAAACTCGGCTCGGTTCTGGTAGGGTCTTCGCCACGACCGCTCCGCTGCGGTTCGGTTCGTCTTGGGGGGAGCTCTGGTTCGCGGCCGCTCGATTCCGCCTGATTCAGTCTTGTCGGTCCTGGAACCTTCCTGCAATCGTGGATGAAGCATTGCGTCGGAGTGTCACCAGGAAGGGTCCTGCAGCGGCCTTTCAACGGATGACCTCACATATCCCTCATAAGTATCCTGGGTTCCATATTTACCAAACTTCCCATACTTCCAATGATTCCCAGAGCTCCAATATTTCCAATAATTCTCATACTCGCAATCATTCCTATAATTCCCATGCTGCCCATACTTGCCATACTTCCCGTAGTTCCCATTCTGTCCACAGTTGGTCATAATTCCCACCATCCGCATACGATACGTCCCTTACTTCCCATACGGCTTGTGACTCCCGTATTTCCCATAATTCCAAAAATTCCCATCAGCCTCACAACCCACTTTAATCCCTTCAATCTCAGAACCCCCAGAATTCCCATCACTGCGGTACGTCCCGTAATTCCCATAACTCTCATAATTCCCATGACCCCAGTAATTACAAGAGTGAGATGGTTCTAAGAGGCCCGGAAACAATCCGAAGATGTTCGCGGAAGGCCCTCTGGAAACATCTTCCGGGAACAATTTGTGCCTCCGTGAGCGAGGCCCGAAGATGTTCCCGAAAATGTACCGCGAAGGCTTTCTGGGGACACCTGCAACCCCATCCCGCCTCCTCCTTCTGCTCCACCTCCTGCTCCTCCTCCCCCTCCTTCTCCTCCTCCTCCTCCTCCGCCTCCTCCTGCTCCTCCCCCAAAGAGGCCCCAGGCAAGCTTCAGATAGGCTTCTGGCACGTTCCAGAGGACCCCCAAAGGGCCCCAGGAGGGATCATGGAGGCAGGAAGACGACTCCAAGAGGCCCCCAAGAGGTTCTCAGAGGCCCGACGGGACCCCCGAAGATGTTCCCGGCAACACCTTCTGGGAATACATGCCCGGGGTCTCCCACGGGTGGTCCGCCGTCACGACGCCTCCAAATTTTCCAGAGGTTGCCGTCGTTGTCGTCGTCGTCGTCGCGGTCGTCCAAAATCCAGTTTGCAGTGGGGAGCGTTTGCGCTAAAACCTGAGCGGGCGCGAAGAGCGCGTGGTTCAGACCAATCATGGCGACGGAGGCAGTGGATGTCGACTTTGCAGTGACGACGGGGCTCTTCAGAGTTGCAGTGTTTTGAGATTGACCGTGGTGGCGGGCAGCCCTAGATCAGCTTTGACCAGAACCTGAGCGCGCGCGAAGCGCGCGCGCGTGGTTCTAGTGTGCGTGTAGTGATTGAAGGCGTCCAGGATGGAGAGGAAGGTGGTGTCCAGTTCTTTTTCAGGGCAGGGTATATTTTCGATGCAGGCTGCTTGCTGCAATCTTCGAGGCACAATGTAGGCAGTGTGACCTATGCCGTACAATATCTGGGGCACGTGATACCCGCACCCACAAATTGCTAGCAAATCTAAACTTGCGCAATCACGCGAGGCGTCGTTTCTCATGCAGATGATGATGGCGGCGCTGATCACGAGGACGATAACAACGATGATGAAGATGATGACGCTGATGATGATGGTGGTGATGATGATGATGATGATGATGATGATGATGAGATGATGATGATGATGATGACGTTGGGGACGATGATGACGACGATGATGATAACGATGATGATGACGATGATAATGCTGCTGATGATGATGATGATGATGATGATGATGATGATGACGATGACGATGACGATGATGATGGTGATGATGATGATGATGATGATGATGATGATGACGGTGGCAATGTTGATGGTGATGAGGTGATGATGATGCTGCTGCTGATGATGATGATGATGATGATAATGATGATGATGATGATGATGATGATGATGATGATGATGATGATGATGATGATGAGGGTGGCAATGATGACGCTGGCGATGGTGATGACGATGGTGCTGGTGAGGACGATGAAGAAGTGCGCGCGTGCAGAATTTGAGAACTTTGCGACAGAAGTGTCATCGATACATCGTTTTGTGTGTGTGTGTGTTCGCATGCAGTCAATACGTTGGCATCAGAACCACCTTGGGCTCTGGAGGGGCTTTGGTTTTCGGGCTGCTCCTTGGACTTCGGGTTTGGAGCTGATGCGCGGCCGAGGTTCGCCGTGGCTAGACAAAACCCATTCGTTCCTTCTTTGCCGTCCCTCACGGAAGTACGATGGCTGTATGTTTGATCACCTGTGTGTTGGTTCCAGCGAGTTCTCGCGCAGAAGTCTGGCGTCAGCTTTCGTTGGAAAGTGATGTTTCTATGTTTTATATTCGCTACATGTCTAAGATGTACATTTTCAGAAAACTGTTTCCCAATGATTTTTACATGCGCGCCGCGGCGGCGCCCCGTGTGCCCGCATGGTGTTTGTTTAAAGGGGCCTTCGAGCAGCCACTTCTTAGATCAACGCATGTGCACCGCATCGTATTTGTTGCAGGAGATGGCGCGCGGGGGGGGGGGGCGGGGCGACACCACCTTGGCTGGGATGGTATAGCTCATGCGTAGCTTGAGAGATCGCGCATGGTTCCGAGGGGCGTGTTCCGGTACTCCTGGCTTCGGTGTGTGGTGCGGCGGCGGCATTGGACAAGGGATTTCTGCCTGGGACCCAGACCCTGGCGCATTCCTTACTGTCTCAAGGCGAAGTGGGTGGCCCGCGTTTGGCCACCCATCGGTCGCGAGGCCCTGGGTTCCTTATCGCTTGCTTTTTGAGAGGGTCGTTAAGGAGTCTGCGGGCCCCCCGCTCTCTGTGGGCCACTGTGTGTCTGTACACTCTAGGCGATGCTTAAGAAAACCCAAGTCTTCGGCCAGAGTCTGGATTATTCTTAACGTTTCAATGTAACTCCTAAGGTTTCAATAGACATCCTGGGTTTTTATTCAAATTCTGAGACTCTGAATTTCTGAACCCATGATTTCTAAAGCATTTCGCAGGGTGTGCGTAGGTATTCTGTGGTCGCAGCGCGTGAGGGGCCTGTGCGGCCGGCCCCCTTCGTTTTTCGCTTGAAAGAGGGGGGGCAGTGACCACAGCGGACGCCGCTGCTACCGTGGCCTGTGTGCCACCCGCTCGCCCGTTGGAGACCTGTCCACGGCGGCGCTCGGACGGAAGGAAGGAAGGGTTCCTTATCGAGGGCGTCCTTGTCTAGCACCTCCACCGTACAGTGCCGTTTTTAATGCATGCTCCGCGTGCGGATCATGCATTAAAGATGCAGGGGTTTAGCATTAAAAACAGCGACGAGTTCATGCATACATCTATTCGTAAATCAATCATGCATTACAAGTTCTATACTCTAGAAAAATCCCATGTGTGCAGAGCTGCCCTGTCGAGCCTCCTTCCTGTCGGGAAGAGGAGCCTGCGCGGCGCGAGCCCCGGCAGCGCGAGCCCGCCCGCGCGGGCGGGCGCCGGCGGGCACCCGGCAGCAGCAAGAGGGCGGGAGCGCAGCCGGAGCGCGCACGCCGGCGGCCGAGCGGCGGACACGGCTCGGCGCTCGGGGCGAGAGCGCCGAGCCGCCGGACAGCGCGCACGGAGCGGGCACGGCACGAGGCCTGAGGCGGGCCTGTCCCTCTGCAAGGGGGGATATTCAGAAATAGTTGAAAGACAATATGGGGAGGCTTTTCTCTGTTTTTAAAAAGTTTTCTGATGTTTCATTCCAAAACATATACATATACATATACATATACATATGCATATACATATACATATACATATACATATACATATACATATACATATACATATACATATACATATACATATACATATACATATACATAGACATATACATATACATATACATATGCACATGCATATACATATACATATACATATACATATATATATGTATATATATATATAGTTTTTAGCCCAAAATCCCCCTGTAGGGGGACAGGCCCGACTTGACACGAGGCGGGCACGGCACGAGGCGGGCACCGGGCGGGCACGCCGAACATATGGCCAGCTGTTCAGGAAGCAAGCGCGACCTCGCTGGCCGAGGGTGGCTTCTTTTCAAGCCAGGGGTCTCGCTAGGCATTCTCCAAAGGTCTGGTCATACCTTTCTCTCATTTCCACGTGCGGTGCTCGCACTAAGGGGATCTTGCTTCGCCCTGAGGATTAGGGCCTGCTGTTCCAGATTTTTGCCCGTGCCCTGCTCCCTGGGCGACTACTGAGGAACAAGCCGAACATCCAACCCCAAATTTCCGCGGGCTGCACTTGTCGAGCCAGGCTAAGCCTTGAGGGCCCCCGATGATTTCCGCGGAGCAGAACACGCGTTTTTGTCGCTCACGAGATTTTTTGAAGTTTTTTGAAGTCTCCAGAGACCCCCCAGGTGCTCTGGAGGTCCCTGGAGGCCTTCAGAGGCTCCCGGAGGCCCACAAGAAGCGACAAACAACTTTCAAGCACTTGGTGCCTCGGATCTCATACCTTCCCTCGCTCCATCCGAGGCTCGTGAACCGCCTCCGGGCGGCGTTCCGGAGGAACCCCTTCGTGGCGGAGTTCGTGGCCTTCGCCCCCGCGTTCGAGCCGCACTTCCCGCACGGGCTGGCCCTGCCGAGCGCCAGCAGCTGCCGCCAGGAGGAGCTGCGGCTCAGAGAGGCCTCGTCGAAGTACGCCGCCGCTGCCGCCGCCGCCGCCGCCGTCGTCGTCGTCGTCGTCGTCGTCGTCGTCGTCGTCGTCGTCGTCGTCGCCGTCGTTTTCGTCGCCGTGGTCGTGGTGGTCGTCGCCGTGGTCGTCGTCGTCGCCGTCGTCGTCGTCGCCGTCGTCGTCGCCGTCCCCGCCGTCGCCGTCCCCGTCGTCGTCGCCGTCGCTGTGGCCGTCACAGCCGCCGCCGTCGCTGTCGCCGTCGCCGTGGCCGTGGCCGTGGCCGTGGCCGTGGCCGTGGCCGTTGCCGTCGCCGCCGCCGCCGCCGCCGTGGCCGTGGCCGTCGCCGTCGCCGTCGCCGTCGCCGTCGCCGTTGCCGTCGCCGTCGCCGTCGCCGTCGTCGCCGCCGTCGTCGTCATCGTCGTCGTCGTCGTCGTTTTCGTCGTCGTCATTCTCGTCTTTGGTTTCGTCCTTCCCCTCCTCGTCATTCCCCGCCTCTCATGCAAGAGGTGTCGCCGTCGTCGTCATCGTCGTCGTCGTCGCCGTCGCCGTCGTCGTCGTCGTCGTCGTCATCTTTCTCCGCCTCCTCATGCACAAGAGGCGTTGGAGTATTGCTGCGGTTACGGCCAGGTCAGCGTGTGGCTGGACACGGACGACGACGTGCGGCGATTCGTGCGCCAGGTGGTGTTCGATGAGGCGGAGGACTCTCAGAACGAGGGCTCGGACAAGGAGCCGCCTCCTCGACTCGATCGATCGATCTCCTGCCAGGCCGGCCACGACTCGATCGATTCGATGCCGCGTGCTGGCGTCTGGGTGTGGCCTCGATCGGTGTTGCCACGGCTCCCCCCTTTTGCGGCTCCCCTGCCCCTGGACGGGCTTCGGCTCGCCTCGGGTCGATCTCGGCTCGACCGATGTGCGCTCCGGAGCGGCCTTTGGGCCGCACGCTGTTCTCCTCCCTGGGTCGCCTGCTCGGGCGCGGTGGCAAAGCGCGGTCTGCGCCTCTCGGTCTTTGGGTGGAGAGTTGCCCCTCCCCCCAGCTCTCCCAGCGCTCCAGGGGGCGGCGAGCGAGCGTGAGGACGATCGTGCTTTGAGCTTCGCGCACCACTGGGCGCGGCCTAGAATACCTAGTGAGCTGACTTCGTTCTCCTCTTCTCACGGTGTACATTTCGATCCTCGTCCCCGCTTCCACGCCATACTGGCTCGTACCAGCTACCAGCTTTCTCAATTCTCTTTACTGGCGCCCACGTCTGTGTGGGGTGGTTGCGGTGTTGCGAAGCATACGTTCTCTTACCATCCTCCTCCCTCCTCATCCTCTTGACTCACTTGAGAAGATCGTTACTTTGAAGCGCGCGCAACGCGAGCGCGAAGATAGAGAATATCGGAAGTTGGGGGGGAGGGTGGGTGAAGTGGCCTCAATTGGGACATCACTTTCAGGTTCCGTTCATGCTGTGCGTGTGGGCGATGGGAGGCTGCGCGAGGTCGACGATGTGTCCGCCGAGGCTACGGCCAACTCGGGCAAGATGTTTCGCCCTCTGGTGTCTCGTGGTGGGGTGTGGCGTTGTCTCGTGGATTGTCCCATGGTTGTCGCGCGGGTTGTTCCGTGGGTTGCCCCTTGGGCTGTCTCGTGGCTGTCCTGTGGGAGATCTGTGGGTTGTCCCCTGACTTGTCCTATGGGGTGTTCCCCGGGTTGTCCTGTGTGCTGTCCCCAGGGTTGTCTCCTGGGTCGCCCCGTGCGTTGTCTGGTGGCTTGTCCTTTTGGTTGTCCCGTGGGTCGTCTCCTGGGTGATCCTGTTGGTTGTCCCCATGGGTTTTCTTGTGGGTTGTCTCGCGGTTGTCGTGCGGATTGTCTTCTGTGTTTCCTCTTGGTTGTCCCGTGGGTTGTCCTGTTGTTGTGCAGTGGGTTGTCTGGCGCTGGCGGCGCGGCGTATTGGGCTGCTCCCCAAGGTGCCCGACTAAGTCGGGCGCATCCTCCATGCGCTTGCGGCAGCGCTGGTCATCCGAGCTTGCTCTTCAAAAGCAGTGGGTTGCCCCGTGGTTATTCCATGGTTGTCCCGTGGGTTGTCCCGCGGGTTGTCTTGTGGGTTGTCCCGTTGGTGGTTCCGTGGATTGTCCTGTGGTTGTTTCATGGGTTGTCCCGCGGTTGTCCCCTGGTTTGTCCCGTGGGTTGTATCGCGGGTTGCCCCACGGTTGTCATGTGTTTTTTTCCAGCGGTCAATACGCTTCAAAAGTTAAACTCTTGACGTGTCGCGCATCCCCACCAGTCCATCCAGAAACAATGCCCAGGGGAGTTGTCGGGAGGAGGGGCGTAGATGAACGCATTGTGAAGAAGCGGAGCCCTTACTGTTAAGCTTAGAGACCTCCCTCCGAGAGCCTCATGGGGGCCTCTTGGACCCATCTTGGATCTCTCATGGGGCCCGTTTAGGATCCCCCAAGGCGCTCTTGGAACTCTCTTGGGGCCACCTTGGTGGCCGTGGAGGCCCTTTTGGGACCACCTTGGAGGCCACCGATCAAAGAACGGGGTTATGTGTTTCAGTCTCCCCATTGGAGGCCAAGCAATCGCGTCTTGGGACGCTCTTGGGTCGGTCTTCGAGCGGTCTTGGGCGCTCTCGAGACGGTCTCGGGGTCCTCGTGCGCCCCCCTGAGGGACCTCCTGTGCGATCTTGGTGCCATCTTGAGGCCTCCAAAACCAATCAGAGGCGACAGGGCAGGAATGCCGAACACATGGATTCATTGGCTTACACCGCACCGCCGATACATTGGGAGCCCTTGATGCTTCTCTTCAGGGAGGCGTGATCGTAGAACCGTCTTTTTTGCAGCGCTTCCACCTGAGGAGCCCACAGCCGTACTCAAAAGGGGCCCTGCTCGGTGGCTTTGGGGGTCATTTTGGCGGCCGCGTGGGGGCTCTTTGGGGGACATGTTAGGGGTCTTTGGGGCCATTTTGTTGGGGAGGGCTCGTGGGTCCCCTTCGAGTTTTCTTTCTCTCTTTCTTTCTTTCTTTCTTTCTCTCTCTCTCTCTCTCTCTTTCGTGGGCTTTTCCTGGGGCCCTTCTGGCGGTCTCGCTGGGTGTCTTGGGTGCCGTTGTAGGGCGATTTTGGGAGCCCGTTGAGCTGTCGCAGACACCCTGGAGTTAGAAAAAGAGCGAGTGCTTTTAAACATGTAGAAAGCCGTAGCAATATCAAGCATACTTGCCTCTTGGCGCCTTCATGGGGAACCTCCTGGGGCTCTCTTTGGTCGTCTTGGGAGCCTCTGGGGCTGTGTTGAGGCCATACAGCCCTCTTGGACCTATCTTGGGCCGTCATAGAGCATTTGCGGGCCGTCAGACAGTTTTCTCTGACCATTTCGGCGTGCTCGGGAGCTTCTCCGAGTCAGATGGGTCCACCGGTCCCCCCCGGCTCCCTTCAGATCGGCCAGTCAGGGCTCCTGGGCGGAGGAATCTGGCAAGTGCAATTAATGTACACGCCGAGGAATATCCGAGAGGGTGGGGAATTGTCCTGATGTTTTTGCAGGGTTTGGGGGCCTCTTGGGGGTGTCCTTGGGAGGCTCCGTGGCCACTTGGACCCGTCTTGGGGGGGGGGGTCTTGGAGGCTATCTTGAGCCATCTTGAGCTATCTTGTGCGATCTTGGAGGCCAACTCGAACTACACAGGGCCATCTTGGAACCATCTTGAGCCCAGAATACCTCCCAACACCTCGTGACGTCCTGGTCCAGACCCCAGGGTAGGGGGTAGGGCGAGGGGTTCGGGAAGAAGGAGGTTGGAAGAACGAGCTCGCTAAACCAGTACGTCAAGAGGATGGGATTGAATTGCAATCGATACGTAAACCGATATACACATGGAAATGCACGCCGAACCGCAAATCGGACAATCCACCTGTATCTCTTTCCCAATCGAACCTTGCATCGAACTCAAAGTGAAATAGGTTTCGAAACAGAAATCGACATGCAAGCATCTATGCAATGGAAATACGCACCGAAAGGCACATCGAAATGCATTAGAAACAGCCCGAATTCCACATCAAGTTGCAATCGACATGCACTCATAAATATGATTAGGATGCACATCAAACTGCAAATCGAAGTGCATATGGACATGCACATCGGAATGCATATCTAAATGTACATGCAGATCGCACATCGAAATTCAATGTGTAATCACGACATGTGTTCGAAGCGCAAACCAACATGCACGTCGAAATGCATATCCAAGTACCATTGGAATACACATCGGGATGCACATCGAAACGCAATTCGAAATGACTTGTCGAGGCGCAACGCCACTTGCAATGGACATGCAGCTCGATATTGAAATCAAAACGCAAGTTCCTCATCCCCCCAACCTCATCCGCCGAAGTGTGGTCTGTGAGGTCTGTGGCCACTTCGCCAGCGTGCGAGGGGTGGCCGAGCCGCCAGCATCATCAGATTCCTTAGAGACCCTCCTCCTCAATCCTCCCCCTCCTGCTCCTCACTCCTCCCGAATCCTCCTCATTCGTCGTCCTCTTCCTCCGCAGTTCTCCTCAATCCTCCTCGGGATGTCCCCGGACATACTCCAGAGGTCTTCGGAGGTCCCAGGAGGTCCAATGAAAGGGCCAACAGCGTCCGAACACCTCGATCCTCGATCATCGATCCCCATCCTCCTCCTCCTCCTCCTCCTCCTCCTCGATCCTCCTCCTCCTCCTCCTCCGCCTCCTCCTCCTCCTCCTCCTCCTCCTCCTCCTCCTCCCCCTCCTCCTCCTCCTCCTCCTGCGCTTTCCTCCTTCATCCTCCTCTTCCTCGATGGTCCTCCTCCTCTTCGGAGCGAGACTCGGGGGCAGGAGCCGTTCGGCAAGCTGCCCGACGCAGTTGCTGGCGGCACCGACGCCCCCCTCGTCGCGCGCTGGCGGAAGGCACGAAGGTCAGGGGGTGGGGCTTGCAACTCTGAAGGCGTGGGAGGAGGAGGAGGATCGCCAAGCACGCCGTGGGTCTAAACGGTACCTAAGATCATCTTCAAGGATGAGGCGGCCATCAGAAAAGCGTGGGCGGGGTAAGCTGTAGCTGCAGTTGGTACCGCCCAAGCGCACAGCGTATGGTGGATGTCCCGATCCGTTGTACCTGGCAGTAGGCCGCATCCTTGATGTCGCGAGTATGGCCGATACCTTGCCACCAATGGTCTGCGGGGATCTCCACCTGTAGGGATGGGGGCATCCGCGGCACCCCATGGGTGGTACGGCCACGCACATAAACGAACGCCACGGTTTTCCGCGACCCCCAAGTTGGTTGCGGACAGATTTAGAGAAGCCGGGATGGAACTTATCCACAAGGAGGAATTAGTAAGATCCGCACCTCTTACGGCCATGCCTCACGGAAGCCTTGAGGTTAGGCCTTCCAGTAGGTTGTCAAAGTGGGTGGCATGATGTGTATGGGGGATGGCAAGTGGTTTCAGGAAGGTCGTTGGTGGACATATACAGCTGGGGCACGTGTGACCCCATGTTGCCGATAAGGAGCACCCTTCTCATTTTCCGATCTAGGTTCGCGCCGTCTGGCCTTAACTGTATCTCGAACCAGCCGGGGCGATTTTCTTATGTCTATAGTTCTGATTGGATTAGTACTCGTTTATTTGTTGAGTGTTCTTTGTGTGTCTGTTGTTTTCGGCGTTGCCATGTCTTCCTCGTGGGAAGTTGCACACTGAAACAAATCCAAGCTCGATCACTAAACTAACGACGCGATCTGGGAACGGAGCGACATCTGAAACGGCAGCTCTAGTCGGCGCAGGGACGGTCGAGATTTGCGGAAGTTGACGACGCAGTGGGATAGTATTGCAGTCGGAACCAAGATGGTGCGGTCGGGTGAGGGTGCTTATTGATGTTTGAAATCGGAGTAGAAGCTGAGCAAAACACGGCACCATCAACTCAACAACAGCAGCAGCAACAGCACCAGCACCAACACCAACACAAACGCCAACACCAACACCAACACCACCAACAACAACAGCAATCAGTTTAAGACTGTTCGCTCTTACCTGCTCGAGTGTCATTCAACGTGTATTTCCCAAAGCCTCGATACCCGCCTTGTTCGTCTTCGATCGGACCCCCTTTGGGGGTATTTCTTTCTTCCCTGCAGGCCGAACCCCTGCAAGCGGCGGGGCGGCCGCGGACCGTCGGCCTGGCCAGCGGCAGCGCTGACCGGCGGCAGCCCGACCCCAAGAGGGACGGACAGGGGACCGACCGCGACGACGACGACGACGAGCAAAAGCGCGAGTGAGAGCGAGAGCGACAGCGGGGCCACGAAGGGCAATGACGGGGCCACGAACGGCAGCAAGGGGGCCACGAATCGCCGAGCGCGTTCCACTATGTGCAAAGTGCCTATTCGCAAACGTCCGAAAATCCACGTTCGCCTCGATGTACTACATCGTAACCCCCCCGCGGCGGATCCAGGCCATTTGCGAGTAGTGACTTTGCGAGTAGCGGAATGCGCTTGCCTAGCGATCGGCGACAGCGGGGCCACGAAGGGCATGCGTATGGGGCCGCGAAGGGCGCGAACGAGCGGGGGCCGCGAAGGGCATGCGTATATAGGGCCGCAGAGGACAAGGGCGGGGCCTCTGAGGGCAGCGATGGGACCACGAAGGGCAGCGAGGGGGCCACGAAGGGCTGCAACGGAACCACGAAACGCATGCATATGGAGCCACGACGGGCACGAACGAGCGGGGGCCACGAAGGGCATGCATATATGGGACCGCGAAGGCCAGCGAGGGGGCCACGAAGGGCTGCAACGGGGCCACGAAGGGCAGCGAGGGGGCCATGAAGGGCTGCAACGGGGCCACGAGGGGCAGGGAGGGGGCCGCGAAGGGTTGCAACGGTGTCACGAAGGGCAGCGAGGGGCCACCTAGGGCTGCAAAAAGGCCACAAAGGGCAGCGATGGGGCCACGAAAGGCTGCAACGTGGCCACGGAACGCAGCGAGGGGGCCACGATGGGCTGCAACGGGGCACGAAGGGCAGCGAAGGGCAGCGAGGGGGCCACGAAGTGCTGCAACGGGGCCACGAAGGGCAGCGAGGGGGTCACGAAGGGCTGCAACGGGTCCACGAAACGCAGCGAGGGCGTCACGAAGGGTTGCAACGGGGCCACGAAGGTCAGCGATGGGGGCCACGAAGGGCTGCAACGGGGCCACGAAGGGCAGCGAGGTGGCCACGAAGGGCTGCAAGGGGGCCACGAAGGGCAGCGAGATCCCGATCCTTAAATGAGCTGCGAGGGAGTCCTAAGCGTGAGCGCGACTCCTAGGTGCCTGAGTGTCGGGGGCGCGGCGCTTGAGTAAATTGCGGGGAATTCCAACTCAAGCATGCAAGTTTCCAGCGAGAGCGCGACTCCAGAGCGCCGAGAAAGCGATTCCAAATAAATGTGAAGGAAGTCCCCAACGAGAGCACGATTCCCGAGTAAAATGCAAGGACATCTCAGGCGGGAGCGGGGGTCCTGGCTAAATGGTGAGGGCGTCTCAGGCGGGAGCCGTTGTTGTTGTTGTAATCCGGGGGCCAGGGGCGCAGCTCGAGCCTAGTGGCGATATATATTTATAGATGTATATACACACATATACATATATATATATATATATATATATATATATATATATATATATATATATGTATGCATATATTTATATGTATATGTACATTCATATAATAAGCAGGAGGGAGCACCGAGTGCGAACCCCGGAGGGAGCACTTCAATTGAAAAAATCACGGGTAACCGGAGGGGGTCAACAATACTTATTCTTCAGTAGTGACAGTTCAACGCAACAGCAGCACTACCACCACCACCACTACCACCACCAACAACAACACCAATCAGTTTAATACTGTTCGCTCTTATCTGCTCGCGCGTACCTCACCACGTATTATATCCCAAACCTCCGATACCCGCCCTCTTCGTCTTCGATCGTACCCCCTCTGGGGTGCACATCTTCCTGACCTGCCACGTCAACTGGCGCAGCCTTGAAAAGAGCAAGAGGAGAACGGACATATATATATATATAAAGAGAGAGAGAGAGAGAGAGAGAGAGAGAGAGAGAGAGAGAGAGAGAGAGAGAGAGAGAGAGAGAGAGAGAGAGAGAGAGAGAGAGAGAGAGAGAGAGAGGGAGAGAGAGACAGAGAGAGAGAGAGAGATAGAACAAGAGAGAGAAATAGAGAGAGAGAGAGAGAGAGAGACAAAAAAGAGACCGCGCGACAGAAATAGAACGGGGAAACGATAGAGACAGAGAGAACTCCAAAACAACGAGGAGGAAAGGAGTGGGGGAAGGGAGGGAGGCAAGGGACAAGAGGGAGGGAACATAACTGCGGACGAGAGAAGCAGCAATGGGGCCGATGAAGGGCAGCAGCGGGGCCACGAAGGGCAGCAATGATGCCACTGAGGGCACGAGCGAGCGGGGGTCACGAAGGGCGTAGACATGGGCCACCAAGGGCAGCGATGGGACCACAATGGGCACGATGGGGGCCACTGAGGGCAGCAGCAGGGCCACGAATGGCAGCAATGAGGCCACTGAGGGCACTGACGGGGCCATCGAGGGCAGCAACGGGTCCACGAGGGGCTACGCTGGGGCCACGAAGGGCAGCAACGGAGCCACTGAGGGCGCAAGCGACGGGGGGCCACGAAGGGCAGCGCCTGGGCCACTGAGGGCAGCAGCGGGGCCACAATGGGCAGCGGGGGGGGCGCAAGGAGCTACGCTGGGGCCACGAAGGGCAGCAATGGGGCCACTGAGGGCACGATCGACTGGGGGCCACGAAACGTGCACATACTATGGGCCACAAAGGGCAACGAGGGGGCCATATTCAGATTTTACCGTTTCGCGTTTTACTGCATTTGTTGTTTAGCTTGTCGAGTAGCGCGTGCAAGCCATTTTCCGCCCGCCCTGGCCTTTCATGCCCCCCCCGTTGTTAGGTTGAAGCGTTGGGCCGACACCCCACCGCCCCCTGACGTTTACAAGGACCCACCTGCGCCGCAGCTCATCTTGCATGGACACACCTTCCTTCAGGGTGATGGTACTGGCGACGTGCGTCGCGTCTCTTGTTTTGTCGGTGCCTGGGCGACCAGCACGTTGATTCATTTGTGCAACGGCCCGTCCAAGGTTTGTCGGCCCACGGCTGCCTCGGCTTTAGTAGGCCAACAGTGGTTCCGTTCCCGTGGAAGTCGAGCGCGGCCTTTGAAATCTGCTGCGCTGGAGGAGGCGGACCAAGCACTTGCGGCTCCTGGAAACCCTACGGGAGATGAGGGGGGCCTTGCCATACGTGAGTTGAATGAACGCGGTTGCTCTGTTGAGAGGCGTGGCCGCGCCTTGATCTGTGCCACGCGTGCTGGTTTTCTGGTGTTGCCTCATGGGGTCGAGAGAGGTCTGAGGGTTTCGTGTCGTGGGCCGAGCACAGTGGGCCTCCTCCTCCTCCTGCTTCTTCTATTCTCTGTGAGCAAGCTCCTGCTGTCTCCGCAGCTTCTCTGCCCAAGTGCCCCCCCGTCGGCCGCGCGTGCGGACGCCTTATGCAGGCGGTCGCACAAGCGGCTCTCGGGGGCGCTGGGGAGATCTTCTTCAGGGGGCTGCGGGCCGCGCTCTACGAGCGGCTCGTGTCTGCCCCCCTCACTGTGCTTCAGGACCAAGGGCCTCCTGCGCCTGCCTGGTCCATCCAGCAGGCGGACTCGTCCGAGGGTGAGGGGGCTTACTGCCCCCTCCCTTCGGCGGGTTCCGCCTGCCACACCGTCTGCCTCGGGCTGGCGGTGGATCTGAGCGGCGGGGTCTCTCCCTGGCTGCTCAGCACGGTCGTCGCCCTCCTTTGGGTGACGGCCGCGTGCAGCGCCTGCGCAGGCTGCTGCTTCGGGCTGCTGGGCCCGCACGTGTGGCGGAGACTCAGGGTCTCCGTCTGGCCGCGCGGAGCGGTGCCTGCCTCCCTTGGGCAGGACCGCCGTGCGGCGCGAGCGCTGGCTTACGGGGTTCCGCCTCGGCCTCGAGCGCTCGAGCGGGCAGACGCCCAGCATTCGGGCGGCAGTTCCCACGACAGCGCCCATTGATGGCTGAGCTGCCACCAGTTGGCGGAGGGCCTCTATGGCCCGAGCTCTACCAGTCGCGGCTCCCACGGCTCGCGATTACGCACGATGGCGCCTAGACGACGGCGACACCAGCTGGGCAGCTATCCCCCTCGCGTCTCGAGAAGGGGGCATCCTGCTGGCCCTGCCTGGCGCCTTTCGCTCTACGGCGGAGCTCGCGGCTGCCGAGGCGGATGGCTTTGCAGGAATGATAGGCCCTTTCCAGCTAGTGGACGTCCAGCTCCAGGGGGCCGCTTCACGGCCGCTCGCCACTACTGCATCCGTCCTCGTCGTAGATATCGAGGTTGCAGAGCTCGAGCTCGAGTCGCTTTACCCTCTAGAGGTCGGGGAGGACGCAGTCATCGTTCCCTTCGCCGAGGTGCGGGGCCGCGTCTATTGGCCACATCCTTCGGGGGTTCGGGTGCTTCGCGAGGGATACGCACGCTTGCACGGCGCCCCGCCTACTGCAGGAGAAGAGCCGCTCCCCGGGGCCGATCGGGCTACTCCCTATCACTCTGCCGACGAGATGGAGGAGCCCGAGGGGTTCGCGGCCGACGGGGAAGCCGACCGCACGGCCCCAAGTGCGCGATCTCCCGCGGACGCTGGAGCGCCGCGCGGCCCGCCCGCGAAGCGCGCGGGCACCGCCGCGCCGCCACGGGTCGCGGGTCCCGCTCCGATCGCTCCTGGTGCCCCTGCGGCGTCTCTGGACGACGGGGCTCCTATGACCCGTGCCGAAGTAGCTGCCGAAATGCGCGCCTTGCTTGCAGCCCACGCGGCCTCCACGATGGTCGGCAGACCCGAGCCGCTGGGCCCCGCGCCGGCTGCCCGGAGCGATCGGCCCGAGGTGCCTCAGCTTTTCAGCGACGAAGCGGTGCGCCTCGGGCTGGATCCTGCGGGGATCGAGGCCGTCTTGTCTCACGCGCCCGTGGCCCCACAGCGGGTCTCCGCGCGTCCCAAGGGTCCGACCTCCGCGCTGGTCTCGGCGTGGGAAAATGCGCGCTCTCTTGCTGTCCCTCGGGCCCCTTCGTCCGGTTTCGGAGCGATGGGTCCCCCGCCGCCACCTGGGCTAGCCCATCCCGCTGCGGCCGACGGCTTTGCCGAGGCGGGCGGCGCCGACGGGTCAGAGCCGCCCCACGCGGCCAATCCGACGGACTTCAGCCTCATGCTACAGTGCCTGCACCAGTCCCTCCTATTGCAGCAGGGGCGGGGCCATCGCCCAACCGTCCATCCGCTTCTGGGGACCCTGAGCGACTCAGCTCAAATTCCGCCCCCGAGCTCGGGCGACCCCGCGCCCGCATCGGCCCAGATGGGGGGCATTGCTCGGAGGCGCGAGTGGCAGCAAGCGCTGCTACAGCACGGCCCCGATGTGCGAGAACTGATGAAGGAGAATTTGGCCCGTGTCCTGGGCGTGGAAGTCAGCGCCG